TATATATATATATGTGTGTGTGTGTTGATCTGTCTGTTTTAAATGTATGTCAAATAAATGTTTTTTTTTCTAGAATAAATTTTTTATCTATCTATCTATATCTATCTTTCTATAAAAAGAATGGTGCCATCCCAAGTGTTGCAAAATGCCTCATTTGAACAGACCTCATGTGAACAGACCAAAGAGCAAGAAAAACTAACTTTGAGAAACTTGATTATGTAGGCATCATCCTTCCAGTTAATATATTTTCCCTTGTGAGTAAAAGCTTCAAGGATTGAAAGTCAGGATTCAGGCCCTAAAAACAGTAGCTGATCTCACTCATAGGGCAGAAGAGAAAGAAATGGATGTTTAATCTAATATAGACAGAGGTGTTCCAGACCAGCAGAAGTCAGATCAAAAAATGGCCTTGAGTATCATTTGGAGAGAAAGGCAGGAATTCTACTAATTTATTAAATAATTACCTTCCTAGCTTCCTTCAACAACACAGTGCTGCTCGGATTAGCTTGTAGGCCAGCCCACACTTTGCTCTCTTGAAACAAAATAAAAGGGATGTGTGTAATTTCACAAAAGAGGTCCTTCCAACATAAAAGTACCACATGACAAGCTGCCCCACCACCAAGAGTTGCTTTACAAAAGAAGAAGATGGTAGTAAACAAAACAAACCCTTACAGCCTTAACAATATCCATATCCCAAACACTCTTCTTCTCATTCTTAATAAATTGTATTGTCCCTCCCATCAGAGTCAAACTCCCCAAACATTTCTATAAAAACACTTACATTGGCAGAATACAAGGAAGCTGGATAGTGACTCTGATGTCAGGTATGCAGCAAAGTTGATGTATTCCCCTCCTTCCCCTCACTTTCTTGAGCATAAAATCAGTGGGGTGTCAACTCTGAAGCTGACCTGACTGAGGCCATCTTGGGGGCTTCAGCATTGTTACAATGGAGATGAGGGGGGGGGAATAGAAAAAGCTGGGATTTTGTAGCCAAAACAAAATAGTTTCTCCTTGGAACCAAGGACATTCCCAGAGGTGGCTGAACAGGGGAGGAGTAAAGTTACCAAGCAACTGGGCAGCACCTTGATTGGACCATGTGACTGATTGTTTGGGGAAAGGGGGGGGGACTTTTAGTTTTAATTCGGTGAAAACTGTGGGAACCTTTAGAGTCAGTTTTCACTGGTCTGTGCCAATATGATATATTCAGTAAAACTGTTCTTTGAGGAATATGCCTGCCTCTGAGTTCTGTTTTGCTATGGATGTATTACTTGGAACCAGAGGTGGTATTCAGCAGGTTCTGACCAGTTCTGGAGAACCAGTAGTGGAAATTTTGAATGGGTCGGAGAACCAGCAAATACCACCTTTGACTGGCCCCGCCTCCATCTATTCTCTGCCTCCCAAGTCCCAGCTGATCAGCTGGGTCTTCTTTTGTTGCCCTGCACAGGAGAAGGGAGCTGGAAAGCAGGTTGGTGGAGTGGGGAGGGAATGGGATTTTGCAGTATCCTTCCTCTGCCGTGCCCACCAAGCCACACCTATGAAGCCACACCAAGCCACGCCCACCAAGCCATGCCCACAGAACCAGTAGTAGAAAATTTTGAATGTCACCACTGCTTGGAACCCTGACATGGGGTTTACAGAGTTAATTCACAGCCTCTTTAACTCCTGTCTTCTTTTTTAATCTTCATATGCAAGTAGGAAAATTGCCCTGCAATTCATGCTCATAGACAAACTTTTCCCCTAAGTACTTTGGCAATTCAAGGCAAATACTGTAATCTGAAATGGAAACCTAAACACTTCTGGAAAAACCAGTTTTGTCCCAAAAGTGTCAGCATTAAGCTGTGCTCTTCATAATATTTGGCAACTAACTGTGAGATTTCAAACAGAATCTTTTCAACTCAAAAATATCTTGCCATAATCTAAAACTGATTTAGAAATTTAATGTAGGAATGTGTATGTATATTAGAACTGGCCAAATAGGCCTCACAGCTCGTACTCAACTTATGCTTATTTGTTTAGCGACCGTTCAAAGTTACGAAGACACTGAAAAAAGTTCCTTACAACTGGACCTCCCACTTATGACAATCACAGCGTTTCCCCCCCCACCCCATGGCATGACTAAAATTTGGGGCCTTGGCAATTGACATGTACTTACAATAGATGCCAAATTTATGAAGGACATAATGGCACATGGTCTCTTTTGTTGTTGAAATCCATAGGAATGAAAATGTGTGGTAACAAAGGGACAAAACTCAGATTGAAATAATTCCACCTGACGAAAGGCTAACAAACGAACAGGGAAAAGCAACACAAGCATGTAGATTAAAAGCACTGAAGCACAGAATCTATGTACACAAGTTACAAAGTATTCCCAGGGGCCAGTAACTTGTACTAGAGGTCAACACCATAAAAAGGTTGCTTTGAAACCATGTTACCTCATGGCAGCAAGACTATTAATTTAGGGTTTACTGCTGGAAAAGATAGAAGCCTTTGCAAAAGCCAGGAAAGTGCTTCATTACAGGCTATCATACTGACCCAGAGCCCCCTTGCTTTCAGCATGGAGAACATAATTCATGTTGCATTTCATTCCTGGCTAGAGGAGTCCACAATGGCAAGAACTGTGGTTTAATTACATCCTGTTGTCTCTTTCTCATTGTCCCTTTGTTGCCATGTCCATCTCCATTTTTGTCATGGTAGTTACTAACGGCTTGATTCCACAAGTTTATTCAGAAATGAGTTTTAGCAACTATGGTGGAATTGACTGGAACATAATGACCATAAAAGGCTGTATCCCTGGCCTATATTTGTTTAGGACTATTTATTGGGCAATCTGTGGCCATTAGAAAACCCACTTTTGGTATCACTACTGCAGAGGTGGTATTCAGCAGGTTCTGACCAATTCTGGAGAACTGGTATTGGAAATTTTGAGCAGTTCGGAGAACTGGCAAATGCCACCTCTGACTGGCCCCACCCCCATCTGTTCTCTGCCTCCCGGGTCCCAGCTGATTGGCTGGGTTTTCTTTTGTTGCCCTGAACAGGAGAACGTAGCTGGAAATCAGGATAGCGGGGTGGGAAGGGAATGGGATTTTGCAGTAACCTTCCCCTGCCACGCCCACCAAGCCATGCCACATTCACCAAGCCATGCCCACAGAACTGGCAGTAAATTTTTTTGAATCTCACCACTGCACTAATGGTATCCAATCTTGCTACCACCACCTTAATTTCTCAAATTTTCTATTTTTATTTATTTATTTTATTTTATTTGTCAATTGCTTACAAGATAATAGGTATAAGTATAAACATAGCTATGAATACATGGATACAAGTCCTACAGTCTAACATTCATAGGTTTGCAGTTGAAGCCCCACTGTAGTATAGAAGGGTATTAACTAGAATGATCATATTTCCCTGTCCTGTGCCTTTTTGGAAGAATTGTGTTTTCAGCAGCCTGACAAATAGGGTGGTGGTCTGACGGTAATGCAATCTTGGTAACAGAGATGCCATGTTTTTCTCCTATACTTTAGGATGGTGGTGTAACTTATCTCCTCACGTGCCTTCTTTCGATTGCAGTGAGGGACAATTGAGACAACAAAGTGCAAAGTTTGTGCATACGTGCGTACCTACCACTGCATACACCCTTGGAAATTCTTTTTTCCTGGATGAAAATAACCTTTTCTTCTATGAAACAAATGCAAAATTATAATAAGGCATAATAAGGCAATAATAAGACTTTAGTTTTTTTTTTTAAAGATTTTTGCTGAACTTTTTGTCTGAAAAAATATATTTACAGTGGCTAGTTTTGTTTTTTGTTAGTTCTCTTTCGCTTCCCTGGCATCTGTCTTGTCCTAGCTGTTTCTAAAATGTGCTGCCAAGTTATTTTTTATGCCCCCTATGAATTTAATTAGATTTAATAGAACATGTTCAAACAGTTTGTTCATGGCTTGATGGCTGTAACTCTATATGGAACTTCTTGAAATCATTACTGTCTATTTTTTTCTGAGCCTAGAATTTTGCTATCTGAAACAGAATACATACATTGTCCCCTATGTCAGTTGCTGCATCAGAGTTCAGTTCTTGCCTTCTTTATCTATTCACATGCACTTCTTCCCAAATTAAGTCACCAGACTAGGTAGGAAAGTTAAACAACCAGGATAAAGATGATGAGATGCTTTCTCAATATTCAGAGCTCAGATGAGTAAGTTCAGGAGACATTATCAGTAAGCAAGATCTGCAGACATTTTTTCTTGTCAACTTGTAATTCTTTTTTTAAACAAAATGTATTGCCGCAGTAAAAAGGCAGAACATTCTTGGCCTCCTCCAGGGATTTACCCCACAAAACACCTTTACCGTATCCCTGAATTGGGTCTGCACTATGCTGCTGCCTGAACACCTTCAACACATAGCAGTCCAAGGACTATGACTGGTGGTTCCATTTGCTGAAACATCTACCTCATCCGACATCCACACCTCACAGAAATTACTCTATGTATTGAAAGTTTGGGTCCTATCCCTTGGTTTGTCCTGTTGTACAATTGACTGTTTTGTAAAATCTTTTTAAAATCTTTATTAACTATGATTGGATCATTCCACTGTTGAACCACTGGGTAGTAGGGGGAAAAAGCCAACTGTTTTGCATCTGGCTGCTGTGTAGCGACCATCTTGATGTGTTCAGGAGAGAGATACCACTGAACAGTTGAGAAAGGGGTTTCTCTTTGGGATCAATGTGTGAATTCCAAGAACATGGAATCAGGGTTTCCTTGGAAGTCACAGCATCTGGAAAGAGAATCCCCCAAGGCAAGACTACCCCAAATATAAAAGCAGAGGGTTTTTAAAATTATTATTATTCCACTTTCAATTACATGTCTGAAGCCAGGAATAGGTTAATCAATTTCAGAGTTTGCCCTCCTTTGTCCACACAGGTAACAGACAAGAGTTATTTACATCTCTTTCTTGCTTGCTTTATTGATTATTAACACAGGGGCTGACCACACCATGAATTGAAACAAACAGATAACAAAGAATTGTAAAGAATCAAGCTTTTTCAGCAATGGTTTCCACGGTGTTTGCTTAACTGGGAACAGTGAAGTCGATGTTAAGAAGAGGTGGTCTGTGTATTGCCTGGATGATTGCTTGATCACCCCAGTTGCAAATGAGGGAGGAGCTGTGATTGCAAGAAATCCATCAGACTGGAGGAGAGAGTGGGGCAGGCAAACAGGTCAGTATCAATCAAGGAGAATATTTGTAGCTCAAGGTTGAAATGATGGGTCCTTGGTGTTCTCTGAGCTTCGTTATTTTTTTTTGCAGATATTTCATTCTTCAAATCAGGTAACCTCATCAACACTGATGATGACACGTAGTTTGGATAATGAAATATCTGCAAGAAAATAACCAAACTCAGAGAACACCAAGGACTCCTCAAAGAGGTTAGTGTCTGAACAAAACCAATTGGAGTCAATAGATTACCATCATGGAATTCAATATTTCTAACCATCTCCAACATTTTCTGCATTATCACAAGTAGTTTCCTGAGTCAAGATATTAGGGAAAGCCCCATTTTCAACACTTTTTAGCACCTTAGCATTTCTTCGGGTTATCTCAGCTATGGAAAGATTCTGAGATACAAGTAGAGGCATGTGGACACAAGTTTGGGAGATGATTAATGAGACATCCTTAATCCAAGGCATGCCTACATTTCCTCCTTATCTGGAATAGTCTCTTTCCAGGATTACTTCAATGAAAGAGGAACACTATTTTGCCCAGTGTGACACTACAATTTTTAATTAATCTTATCTGTGAGATACTAAATTCTAGGTACTTTTTGAAATTTTTTATACTTAAGCTGGATTTCCCAAGGCATCAAATCTTTAAAAAGGACTATATACCCAGTCTATTTGGCAGCCTGTATTTTTTTCTTTCTGCCTGCCCATAAAAATAACTGAGAAAGTATCTCTTAGAATGACCCAGGTTCTGCCATTCAAAATCTTCCTTAATTACAGACTTTTTCTCAAAGATAATTTAGAATGGGGCGTAATGCATGGCTGTGTTACACTCTACCACTCTCTGAATTTGCTGTAACTTGTTATTACTACACTAAACTGCAGTGGTCTGTTCAAAGACTTTTCTATAAATAAAGAACCTCCTGGTTGGGCAGATGTCAATCTCCATCAACAGTAGCTCCAACATAACTGTTCTCCACTTTCTGTTGCAGCCCAGGAAAAGTTTCTGACTTAGAAGGAAGCTGATAAGTCTTCAACGGTCATAAAATCCTCCAAAATGTGACAAACTGGGCAACAATAGTTTGCTCATGGAAGTAGCACCTGCAACCCATCTGGCTGTTCATGTTATTTATTTCTCAGAAGGGGAGACCAAGACAGATGTGCATGTGTTATGGAATATCCAGGAATAATGGATATTTTAGTTCTCAACTTCTAAAGGACAGCAGATTGGAGAAGCTGTATGGCCAAGCTGTCAAAGAAGTTTCACAGCATATTCTCAGTTCAGCTGATGCATATATGACATGGCAGACTAATTTGCTTTCCTGTAGAGTGCAGCATTATTACATAATATAGATGCCATGTCCTAATGAATGCTGGACAGAGAATAGAACAAAGCATTATTGTATTTCCTTAGTTTATAAAGGAGTCAAAAGAGTGTGTGTGAAAGCCAGTCGGTCAGTCATTGGGCCATAACCTTTGCTGTATAAGCCTCTCTGGCTTTCCATGTTTTAATTCATCTATAAGCAAAGCCACCAGGAAATTCTTCCTATTTGGGCTTGTTCAGTAGTAGTGCTACTGTAATCACCACTCCTAGTTACTCATTTTTTTTTCCTTCTCTTGAAGATAATCCAATAAATGGTCCATCCAAATTCTCTACTCCAGAATTGGTGGAGAATTTTAAAAAGCCATTTGCGCCAAGTTTTCACACAATACAGTGCTACATCCTCAAAAGTTTTCCGGCTGTGATTAAGATATAAATTACAAAGTTATTTAAGACTTCTTTCTGTCTGGGTCTCTAACCTTGTCTACTCATCCACATGTATCTTGATATCTTTTACCAGTAAAAGAAAGATGACAATCCCAGTTTCTAGGAGCTGATGGTGAGATCGGGTGCATATAAACTGTCAAAGAAAGTATGCCTCAAAGTAGCTCAAGTTGAGGCATACTTGAGTACTTGCTGAAGAAACAACATGTAAGTCTACATGTAAATTTAATTGCTTGATGCACCTTCCCTTTTAATAAACATGATGGAGGAGAAAAGATTACTTTTTGACTCATTCTTAATTGTTTGTTGTTGTTCAAGATACTGTCATGCAACTTTGTGGATAATATAAGGTTTTGGTTCGTTGTAAAGAAAGCACTGAGTATAATGCAAATGAAAGCATTTCATAAATAATATAGAAAGGTGTCATTAATATATAAGCATACAAGTAAAAAAAACCTATGTCCAATCATTATATAAACCCATACATTATCAAGCAATCTCAGCACCCTTGCCTTCAAAATTTCATCATGGAGAATTTATATGTTATGATAACCGATTTCATATTTATCCCTATGAAAAGGATGTTCTTTGTTCAAAGAGTACTATGTGCATGACTTTGGCCCTGGATTACAATATTTCAAGTTACAAAAATTATAACAAAAAATTACATTTATCCAAGGCTGACTTGGATAAATTACATTTATCCAAGGCTGACATCGTGCCTACCATCCCTGTCCTATTGTCCCCATTTATTCATACCTATTTCCTGTATTCTTTCTCATGTTTATACTTATATCCATTACCTTGTAAGTGATTGACAAATCAAATCAAATAAATAAATAAATCTTGCAGTCATTGTCTTGTAAAATTGTCCTGCTGAGAATTTTCACAGTGAGTTGAAGGTTTTTTTTTTTCCTAATTAAATTCCTGGATATAGTAGTGTAAAAATTACATTAGTCCAGTTACATTTAAAAAAGCTGGTAGAAAGATAAGAAAAGAGAGTGGTTGAATCTCAGAAAAGTAGTTCTTAAGGAAGGGCAGTTCAGGTTCCCTTGGGACAATCTGCCTTTGTACTTTGTCCGTTTAAACCGGTTGTCTGGTGTAGCTGTATTTGCTATAATTGCTACAGTTTGTAATTGCAGAACTGTGCATCGCATATATACCCTCTCATTATGGTATGGGGGCAGAGCATTTCCAGTAATTCTGGGTCAGCTGAAGCTTCATGTTCCTTGATAGGGTGGTGGTACCATCTTGTAGTAGCTTCAGCTAGGATCTCCAAATAGAATCAAGCCAAAGCAAATGTACTGTAATTATTACATAAAAAAAACTGGGGCCTGTTGCTTGCTCTGCATACTTCTATCAATAATCCATGCAAAGCATTTTAAAGATCTTTGTGGGTCCGTAAAATTACCTCTCTAATTCTCCAATAAAAAGCAACCTCCCAAGCTGTAGCTTGAGGGATAAATATACCCAAGTAGTGCAGGGATCATCATCTCCTCCTCCTCCTCCTCCATAATATAGTATAGTGTAGTATAGTGTAGTATAATATAGTATAGTGTAGTGTAGCGTAGTGTAGCGTAGCGTAGCGTAGCGTAGCGTAGCATAGCATAGCATAGCATAGCATAGCATAGCATAGCATAGCACAGTATAACATAACACATAACACATAACACATAACACATAACACATAACACAACACATAACACATAACACATAACACATAACATAATATAATAAATGTCTTCCTCCTCCTCCTCCACCCCTTCCTCCTCCTCCTCCTCC